TTGTTCTGCATTCAAAATATGACCGCAATACAGTGGCTTTAGGTGGAAAATTCTACCAGCATACCCTCATAATGTGCAAGATAATACAAAGCTATGTTTTGCCAGGTCAAGCATTAGTCCATCTTGCTTAGTGTTGACTGTGTGACTGACAGTGGCTCACCAGAATTTTTGACAAGAATGTTTCCCTGAATTTTCTAGAGATGCCAGGTGCTGTACCTGAGGCCTTTGGCATGCAGATGCTGTAGTGCACAACTGAGCACCAGCCCTGTGGAATGGTCCGGGTACCACTTGACTGAATGAGGCTTCCAAACATAAAAGTGAGCCGATCTTTTTAGAAGGTTGCAAACCAGGATCTAATGTAGAGTTTGTGTAGGGAAACTGATCATCCACTGTCTCCTTGTTTTTATTGCATTGTGTGCTGTTAACAACTTGAATTAGCCCTAGATGTTAATATTTTACTACATCAGCCATCCTTGAGCAGACAGTAGCCTTTCATAACAAAGTCTTTCTCTTTGTAAGCCGCCCTGAGGCTTTCTGAGATGGAGCCGGCATAAAAATGCTATAAATAAATAAATAAATAACAAGATGTGGAAAAGAGTGGCAATACTGGATGCTTTTTCCTCCCTTTTTTTCTCTCAGTCTGCCTATTTTTGCATGTCATGATTAAAACAAAAAGCGACAACCTGCCCCACCTTATCTCCACAATGGACACTCTGGTCCCATGTGCTATCATCACTGCCTGGAGATCTGTTTCCACTACACTGACTCAAACTTTTGTGGCATGTAGCACCATGCTCAAACTGGGTCATTGTTTGTAAAATGGAGCTGCACTTCTCAGGGTGGAAAGGGCATCATTCCATTTGTAAAACCTTTTGGAGATACATATCAGAGCACAAAAAGGGAAATATGGAGCAATACCTGGTGGGATTTCAAAAGCTTTCTGCCTGACATTTGAGCAGGCAGTGCCCCATGCTGGTTTTGGTTTGCAGCTGTAGACATTTTCATTTAAAGAAAAGAATTGCTATTATTTCAATTTTTATGCAGTGTTTTTTATTTTGACATTCACCAGTTATTCTAACAGTATTTTTACTCCTCTGAAGAGAACAAGTTTTTGACTATTGAGAGTTAGGGTGTAGAAACCTCTACCAAATGGAAAGTGGGTCACCAGTCATTCCCTGTGTGTTCTCCAACCATCTGAGACAAAGTGGAACCTTTAGCATTACCTTCTGATGAGCTTTTGAACTGATTGTGGCACTGTATCTCTTAAAAGCCTACTGGGGCTTGCAGCATCACCCTTTCTCCTAGTGCATCTATTGCTACATGCAAGCAGGGGCCTGGACTGCAAGAGTTACACTGGCATCCTTTGCTATGTAGCCAGGCCTGAAGGGTACATCTCTGCCCAGCATACCCTTAAAAAAGTATGTAATTCATCCCATTCCTTTGTGTTGCTGCAACTGGATAGGTAAAGGCAAACTAACAAGGGTACCTGTAGGCATTGGTTGCTACATCCCAGCCTGAGGTTATTAACTCATAGTGGTCACATGGTAACTGTTACTGACATTTTATTTTTATATTTATATCTTGCTTTTTTCCTTACAAAGAACTCAAATGTTATAATAATAATAATAATAATTATTTATTTATTTATTTATTTATTTATTTATTAGAACATTTTTATGCCGCCCCATTCGCCGAAGCCTCGGGGCGGCTTACAACAAAAAATTAAAATAACCTTTTAAAATATATACAATAAAATACAAATATATAATATGAAACATACACTATAAAACAAGCCGCCCTGGCCAAATAAAATTCAATAATATTAACATTTAAAATACTGCTTAAATAAAAAGGTCTTCGCCTGGCGCCGAAAAACAAATGACGACGGCGCCAGGCGGACCTCTCTGGGGAGCGCATTCCATAACTTAGGCGCCACCGCTGAGAAAGCCCTCCTCCGAGTAACCACCCTCCTAACTTCTTCCATGGAGGGCTCCCGGAGAAGGGCCTCTCCCGCCGATCTCAGGGGGCGGCTGGGCATATAAGGATGTAAGCGCTCCTTCAGGTAACCAGGACCCAAGCCGTTTAGGGCTTTATAGGTCATTACCAACACCTTGAATTGGGCCCGGACTTCAATGGGAAGCCAGTGAAGCTGACGGAGAACTGGAGTCATGTGAACATAACGTCCAGTCCCCGTCAGCAGCCTGGCAGCTCTATTTTGGACCAATTGAAGTATCCGGACCGTCTTCAAGGGTAGCCCCACGTAGAGCGCGTTACAGAAGTCCAGACGGGAAGTCACCAACGCATGTGTCACTGTCGCAAGGCAGTCATTCTCCAGATAGGGGCACAGCTGATGAATTAGCCGAAGCTGGAGGAAAGCGCTCCTCGCCACTGCTGTTACCTGAGCTTCCAGTGAAATAATAATAATAATAATAAAGTGGCTTACATCATTCTCCTCCTCCTGCTCTCAATGTTATCCACACAGCAAGCCTGTGAGAGCGGTTGGGCTTAGAGTCTGTGACGGGCCCAAAGTCACCCAGTTGGATCCGTGGGTGAAAGGGGACTAGAACCCAGATCACCTGAGTCCTGGTCCTATGCTCTTAACCTCTGCACCACACTGGCTCACTATTATTGTATTTTCCATGAGTTTTCCATGTAGGGATTAGTAAGAATAATGCTAAGGAAAATAGAGGGCAGAAGTAGAAGGATAAGACTAAATTCTAGATTAATTAATTCCACAAAAGAAGCCACAGCTTTGCATTTGCAAGAGCTGAGCAGGAATTTCAAGGACAGGATGATTGGGAGGACAATTATTCATATGGTTACCTATGAAAGATGAATTGACAGCACGTAGCAACAACACTTTCTTTGTAAGAATATTTGTGGAAGGGTACTAGTGGCTATTTATTTTCCCCTCATATTTCAAACGATGATAATGATGTGCCTTAATTGTATGTAGTACAATGCGGAGGAGGAGAAGGAAGGTGGGTGGAGGAGGAGGCGAAATACCCTTCCATATGATGTTCACAGCCTAAGATTTGCAAGTTAGGGAGAAAGGGGAGCAAGGGCGGGTGCAAAGGGAACAAGGCACAAATAAAAGGAATGTAGGTTTTGTTTCATTGTGAGAAAGGTTGTCCAACACTGACAAAGAACTGATAATACAACACATGGAGCAAAGTTTATCTTAAATGTAAAATGTTTTAAACACACAACTTAAAATGTGAAATATGGATGTAGTTAACAGGCATTTGCCGACATGCTCAGAATAAACTATTGCCAAGATGCTCCGAATTTTTAATGTTATTCTATGTTGTTTATCTTCTTTGTAATCTGCCCTGAGGCTTTCTGCGATGGGGGTGGCATAAAAATGCTATAAATAAATAGAAAAATAAATTTGAAATTAGTTGTGCTATCCAGGCAAAGTTGGATCCGTGATGGCTCCTGTGAGTGGAAACTTGGTGGTAAAGTCAGTTTGTTGCTGTGTAACGGCCCAAGCTCTCTACCCTTAGGTCACAGTGCCTCACTTGACATTATCTAATGCCTTCTGCCAATCAGAATTACAACCATATGCGAACAACCTCTCCAACGGATTCATCCTATTTGTGGGTAGAGAAATGTGGGAGGGGAAGCCATTACCTTGAATGTATCCAGGTGGATGTGAAATGGTCTAAGAATTTTTCACAGGGAAGGCTCTTCTTGGCCTCTTTCGACCCATGCCCCAGAATGTTACATTTCTGAGGCGTGATTTTTTGATGCACCTTGCCTCTCATGCAGGTATTCATAATAGCATGATTTCTCGCAAGTCCTGTAGTTGGAGAGTATGAGAAACGGCAGCATTGTGTCCTGCTTCAGGGAAAAGTAGAGGTGATGTTCTGCCAACATCTGTCCTTCAATTTCCTGGAAATTCTTCTTTCACTTTTCAAGTTCAAATTCCTCTTTTCAAAGTTCTAATTCTACTTCTGTGTCTCATTCTCAGGGCACAGTATATTTTTCTTGGTGGTGTTAGGGACTTTACTTAATTACTATGACTGCCTTGGTGTTATTCTTTTTATTACACATCTCTCCATTGTTTTGCAGGCTCCCAAACTGCCTGTGTTCTTAGAAATGAAAAATCCCTCAGGGTTTTATTCCACTGGGAAGGATGTGTGGGGAACCAAAGGAATTACATGCTGCCAGAGACATGATTGTATGACAGGAAACTCTTGGTCATCTCATGAGCAATGTAAGCACAAGAACCCTGAACTAAACTCAAGAAAATTTCTCTGAAATGTCTTCTCCTAACAAATTGCATGAACATGGCAGACAAATTCGTGGAGGGAATTTTTGGCACAGCATTAATCTGAGCCTCAAAGTCTCTGCAGCAGCCACTTTGGATAGTTGTAAACTCACAAGGATGTGCTTCATTCCATTTGGATTTCATTAGAATGAATTTAAGAATCCACCCTGTCTCTTTCAAGGGACTTTCAGCAAGGACTGCATTAATTTCTTCATTAATGGATTAACAGTTGTAGATAGATGTATTTGTCAGAGCTAATTCGAAATACAGGCTATTATATTATTCAGCATTTGCCAACATAAATGCTATCCATCAAAGCAACAGAAAACTATACCTATGTAGACCTAGGAAAAGGACTGGTGGGTGCGAAAGGTGATGCTACTGAAAAACCAAACATAGGAAGAACACATTGGGGAAGAGAGACAGGTGATGTAATTGTAATTTTACCCTTATTGTGTTTTGTCTTATTTGTCTTTACAGGTTGGTCATTATAAAAGTAGAGTTTTCTGAAGAACCCATTACTTGTGGCACTGTTATCAAGCTAGAGGTGGCCAGTTAGTGACAACTTTAGAAGATCCAAACCAGGAGTCTGCTTTGCAAACAGGCAGAGTGGCATTAAATTTCTGTGTAGCAGACTAACCCACTGTGTCATATGACAGGGAGCTAGTAAGTAGACGAAATTTGGCCCAGGCGGGAGCAGAGGTGAGTTTGAGAACGAGCAGATCTTACTGTAAAAGCTACAAAGGCAAAGAACTAGCCATTTGATAACAAGCAATGGATGGAGAAGAGAAAACGTACGGTGGCTGTGAAGGCCCCGATGCAATGTATGTGCAGTTGATATCCTCTGATGGTCATGAGTTCATTGTTAAACGAGAGCATGCACTTACATCAGGAACAATAAAAGCTATGTTGAGTGGTCCCAGACAATTTGCAGAAAATAAAACAAATGAAGTCAATTTTAGAGAGATTCCTTCTCATGTCCTATCCAAAGTATGCATGTATTTCACCTACAAGGTTCGCTACACTAACAGCTCCACAGAGATTCCTGAATTTCCAATTGCCTCTGAAATTGCACTGGAACTGCTGATGGCTGCAAACTTCTTGGATTGTTAAATAAAATAAATTATAATAAAAATATAAGCCTCACCTCTGTATTTAATGCTAGTAGTTCCATTAGTAACTATTTCTTAGATGTTCTGTATGTTTAAGAAGTATAATGACCATTGCAGAGGCTGTTACAGTGCTTTTAATCAGAATCATTTGTGCTTCAATCTTGTTTTGCTGCTTACACAAGTAATGGACCAACAAATAAACTTGCCAATTAGAAAAGAAAAAACAAATTTGGCCCAGGTGTTTTCCAACTTTTTGTGTGTGGATGAAGGAAAAAATGTAATCAACATTACTCCGCAATATATCTTTGAAGAACCTAACTGGGACCTTAAGATAGCTTGTCATGAGATCAGCTATATAAAGATTCTCAGCCAAGTTCATTGTGCTTCACTGTTCAATTAATTTGTCAATTACTCAGCAGTGGAGAAGCAGAAAAGAGAGCTGATGAAGTCAGAACAGGGAGCAAAAGAGCCATTTTGTGAGCCATAGAAAATTCTTGCAATATGTTCTGTGTGTAGGCTGGGTTTAAGTCAATTATCACTTCAATCAATTAATGCTATCTTCATCATTAGTCTGGAATTTTAGCTCACCTATTCTCTCAAAGGCTCTAGATCGTAAAAATCTGGAAGATATAATTGACAAAAATATGTATGTTTTTGAAAATCCATCTGATAAAATGTGACAAGAGCATGTGTGTTTTCATTTCTTGCTTAACTTGTTATTTATCCACATCTGGTTGTTCTGCCCATCAGTTATGACCTATTGCCCATTATGCCTGTTGAAGCAATGCTTATAGCTCCTTGAAGAACTTTCTCCCATTTATGCATCATCTCTTCACTTATATTTGCACTGCATTTATAACTGGATGGAATTCATCAGTGCAATAAGTGAGACAAGATGCAGTTAATTTGTAGCAAGGTAACCTTCTTATGCTTCTATAAAGTAGATGGAGCTGTGCAAACAAACACAGATAATCTGTGAGGTATAATTTCATTGCTAACCAACCATTACTTTATTGGGCAGCTGATTTGTTAATAGTACAGGATGGTCACAGACTCATGCATCATAGAGTCATAGAGTTGGAAGGGGCCAAGAAGGCCTTTGGGTCCAATCCCCTGCTGTTGCAGGACACCAGTTTACACCATCCCACTCAGGTGATGGGAATTAATGGATACAAATATCTCTTTGATTTAATGAGATGCCCATTATGACTTAGGAAAGGTGACTATCCTCCATTAGCAGGGAGTAGCAGGTATGCAAACAACAGTTGGAGTACAACTCTGTAAAAAGTAGGATTGTAAGAAGCTGCCTTATACTGAGAGCATTTAGAAAAACACTCTTTACATGCTGAGTGGGAGAAATGGTTGTGCCTAGAAACCACAACCTTCAGCAACTGATGCATGGACCTGATAGGTCCTTCGTCGGCTGCACATGGAGTCATGTCCTCCACCCTGCAGACCTAACTATATGGATATGCACATAAGGGGATAGATACTGGACCAATCCTGACATGCACCCATACATAGGGCCCCTTTTTATATGCATTCACCCCCTATATGCATTCACCCCACACACATACACACTGGGACACAATTAGTCCACTCAATCCCTCAACCCTCACATGAATTCTTTGCAAAAGTGTGAGAGGCTCATCTAAGCCCCTTGCAAAGTCAGACAATGGTACCTCTGATTCACCATCAGTAATCCCTCTGTACAAGAGATGTGGAAAGCAGAAAAAAAACAGAGTCCATCAAAATTCTTTAAATTCCATTCTGAAAAGGGCAACTGGATGATGAAGAGGCTGGAGCGATTCCCTATGAAGAAACCTCCAACTGATAGGATTGTTTGGCTGAGATACAAGATGGGTTCAGGGAGACAGAGAGACAAAAGTATGGGGGAGATGTACAAAATTATGCATTGGATGAAGTGGGCAGGAAAACACATTTCTACCACTCTTGTAATACAAGTACATGGAGTCATCCCATGGGATAGAAAGGAAGCACTTCTTCACACAATGCATAATTAAACTATGGCATTCAGTTCCACAAGGCAAGTCACCCATTTGGACAGGTTTAAAAAGGGCCTAGACAAATCCATGGAGGAGAAGGCTCTCAATGACTCTTGGTGGCTCGCTGTTGCCTCCACTCCCAGAACCAGTATGCTAATGCACAGTAACCAGTAACTGGGAAACCAGGGCTGAAGGGTGGAGTACTCATGTCCTGCTTGTGAGTTTCCCGTGAGCAACTAGTTGGTCCCTGTGGGACGGCAGTGTTGGTCTAGGTGGATACTAGATCCCCCATGGACTAGAGCCCCTTTTCTTGATCAGGGAGCACCTCCTCAACGTTTATGGACCGAAAAAAAGGCATGGACCACTGCTGGGGCACATGCAAGTAAATACACTGCAGTTTCCACTGTGATGCAAACGTGAGCTTGTGGCAGACACAAAAGTAATTGTGCAAGGAATAGGAGGAGCTGGAAAGGTGGTATGTGCAGTCAAGTGGCACTTTTTAAAAAGTTGTTCTTGTTCATGTGAAGGTGGAAATGAGCGGCTTAAAAAAAAAAAAAGATAAAAGGGCAGCTCATCCTGCTCCTTCACAAAAGATCATGAACAAGAAGGGAACGGGGAGCGAAAAGGGGGAAGGTGTGATGTTGCTTGCTGCCATTCTTCTCCTTCCCATGGGGTGAAGCCAACAGGATCTGTGCCATTTCCCTCCACCCAAAAACAATTCTTGAAAGCAATTTCAGGTGCTATTTTATCCTGGCTTTCCCAAGAAAAAACACCATTGAAGACAATATGATTTAAATCCTTGTAGGTGCCTTTGAACATAGTATGATTTATTTCTGAATAAATATGTACATTTATGGGCAGCTCAGAGAGGCAGAGAGAGAGAAGGTGGGAAAGTAACTACAAGGCTCCTCAGTCTTGCTTCTGTTTTCTCACAGCCCGCTTCCTCTTGCAGCATCTCCCAGCACGCCAACCCACTGAAGCAACCATTTCTCTCCCCTGAACAGTACCAGGAGTACAGCACACACTGCAAAGAGGAATGCAGAAATAAAATGCAATATATAAAACATGGTTATAGCCTTGCTCTGAAAAAAATACAGGGGATAGTGACAGAAATAGCACAATGACCAATGAATCAGGCATTACAGTGCTGTCAAAAATGCTTAGTGTAGACACCCATCTTCCATATCAGCTTGCAGACTTTTTTCATGAAAAAATGCATTCCAAAGGACAGACTCTTTCCCTGGCAATTAATACATGTTTGTGCATACTTTTAAAAAAGTGTATCTTTTCTCATGCATATCTTTAAAAGCCACTTTTTCCTCCCCTTTGTTCAGGAATGTAGGAGTGTTGACTGCAGACTGCATGCACGCTAACATTCAGGTTCAAGAAATATAAATGGGGTAAATTCTGGTCATAAGTGACAGAGAAGGGCTCTCAGAAGTCTTTGCTTGCCTTAGATGGTGATAAAAAGGACTGAACTTGCAATATTCTCCATGCAATGCATGTGTTCCACTCTGTGTTACAGTCCTGGTGCAGAGTGGCATGTCAGATAACACCTACCAGCACGAAGGGCTTCTCTGCACAGGACATTTATGGTGTAATCATGATTCACAAAAGTTTCTATGGCCTTTCCTCTCCCATCTTTCCCAGCAATGTTAGCAGGAGTTTTTAGAGTGAAGGAGCCTGGTATTAACTTTTAAACCTGAACAAAAGCCTCCTGAGAGCAAACAGATCCACAGTAGTGCAGCTATACCTCAGCCCAACTTTGAGGTTGGTTAATAGAGTATAGAGAAAGGCAGAGTAATACAGATCCCTGGAGGTGCAGGGGCAGGGGAAAGGGGCTCTATAAAGGGCACATTTTTCCTTCTCTGGTAAAAACAGAAAGGTAAAGCAAAGTGGAGCCCATCATGAGTAGTTCTAACATCATATGCCTATATTGTAAATAAAGCCAAGCCAAGCCACTATAAATTCCCAGTGTTCCTTCATTTTGAAAGGAAGCTAAGCTCAAAAGCTCTGTCTTTGGAAGATTGCATCATTTATGCAACAATGTGGCACAGATAATTGATCCTGGGCTTAGTTGACAGGACCAGAAAGAAAAAACTGAATGGTACTTAGCATTTTGCTACTCATATTCCTTGTTTACAGTACAAGGCTGAGACCATTCCTGAAAGATATCCAGCACTGGTTGCAAAGAAAGCTCCATCAACTTGTCCTGTACTAAGCCTTGTCATGAGGCTGCTGAATCAGTCACCTTGCAATCAGGCCAACTCCAGCTTTGAGGGTGCCTTTGGCCCTCTCTTTGGACCTGTACTGACACCTGCCCCAGCAGTTTGAGCCACCAGTGCGTATCAGAGGTCCCAGTGACAGTGTAGAAGCCACCCTTTAAATGCCCCACAATGGCCACGATGCAGCCTTGCTTTTCAGCATGGTGGGAAATTAAAACATTGTCCCCTAGTCCTAGCCAGAAGGCCTCATGTGCAGGTCTTGCCAGGGATCTGAGCCCTGATACTTGCCCAAGGTTGCCAGGACTTATAGAAACTCACTGCTAACCTGGGTTAGGGATAAAGGGTGAGAAAGTGTGGGTGTGGGGGAAGAGAAAGAGGGTTTGGGGGAAGCCATACATTGCCACACCTAATAATTATGGGCCTTACTTTAGTCACTCCAAACTGAATTCCCACTTAGCTGGTGAAAGCATAGATTATTAAAAGGAAGAAGGGGAATGGTTTGTTGAAGAAATACCAACAGTTCTCAAACAAAATCCCCACCACCACCCACACAGAGCAGGGTTTCTGTTGCAGAGAGATAGGTTCAAGTCTTTATTGGTTCAGGTGTCCTTAGTTCTATTATGTAATCTTTTAGAAAAGCAATTAGCTTTGTAGGATGAGTAAATCCTCTGGTCAAGTTAGGAAACAGGGTATTTCTTAAGGACTTATCCCTTTTCATATGTAAAAATGATGTTAAACCCCTGAGATTCTCCTGGTAATCAGCCTCCCCAGGGCAGGCACCGAGCTG